AGGCCATTTCTTTTAGGTTGGAGGCCATCGCTGTCTGGTTGGAGGCCGTTTCTATCAGGTTGGAGGCCATCGCTATTAGGTCTATTAATTTTTTTTACTGTTAGTTCTCCCAAGCGACTTGAGTGACGAGTGACTTGTACTGCCATGATCGCACCTTGCCAGGTTCGCCCGACAGGCTGGAACGGGGCCGGATGGCCTCTCAAGCGCTGGGTCGTTCAAGGTTGTCAATCAGAACTGTCATTCAAGCATCGATTCTGACTCATCCCGGGGACCATGAGAAAAGGCAGCCAAGGCACGAAACTCCGAGCTGCAAGGTACCATAGGCAGCTGCAGAGAGAGCTCAGCGAGAGCAATGAAGGCGCTATAGAACTCGAGACGAGTTGGCTTTGAGCAACGTCATTTGCAGAGCTTTAGGTTGGAGGCCATCGCTATTAGGTTGGAGGCCATTGCTATTAGGCTATTAGGTTCAACGTCATGTGCAGACGTGTGCAGACGTTCAAATCTCCACTTCAACCTGCCAGGTGACGCTGCCCGCACCACGGATGCTGCAGACGGCCATGGGACCGGTGGGTTGGAAGCATCACCAGGTGGATCAGCTGATCCATCACCCAGGAGGCGATCGGAAAGACCGGGCGCTTTGATGATCATTGCTTTTACTATGAGGATGATTACTGTTACACTATTGTCATTAGTTATCATTTTGGCCTTTGCTGTTGGTAGTTCCTTTAAACTGGCAAAGACCGCGGCAGGGACGCGGAGAAAGAGCTCCATGGCGAAGGCTGAGACTGTCTTAGCGGGTCAGTCCAGCGGTCTGTATGGTGTGGGTTTTGCTGGGATTCATCACGAAAGCTAGCACCAGCTAGCTGGAGTTGTCCTTGCTTTAGCAAGTGAGGGGCTGGAATCCTCGGGATCGCCGCATCACGTGAAAACTTCATATGTAGGGGGGGGCCCCCGTGGGTTCAACTCCCCCCTCGGACGCCTCTGGGACACCTCTCGGGCATCTCTTATGGCATCCACTTTGGCTTAACTCCTCCGGGATACGGTGCAACAGATTCAACAAGCTCACATGTTCATGACATCGACATCGATAGAAGAAACCAAACAAATCATGCAAGCAGCTTTGTTTTGCCTCTGGGACACCTCTTGGGCACCTCTTATGGCATCCACACTGGTTCAACTCCTCCGTGGAGGTTTTGGGATACGGTGCAACAGATTCAACAAGCTCACAGGTTCGTGAACACATCGGATGCATCGAACAGTGTGGCAAAGTCCAGCCACGCTTCCTTAATTGTCGGGGACTTCAATTCGAAGGTTGCCTGTGTCATTGCTGTTTGTGTGTCTTACATGTTTACAAGGTTTTACCTCATGAGCATTTGCCTCACTCCGCTTGATGTCCCACCAGTCCGGATGCACCCCTGCAAGCTTTCGTCGCCTACCCTCGGCCTCAAGTTTCCCGGTCCATTCCATGGGTGAGGAGTGAGGAGGACCCTCGGATTTGGAGATGCATTTAGACCAGCAGACGAAAAACCTCTTGAGTGAGGGGGAGAGCCTTTGATTTGCGCAAGAGCTGGTCAACCGCCAAGGGTGATTCAACAGTTGCCTCCGAGCTACCTCAATCACTGGCTGGTGTTGTCATGCCTCCGGTTCTACCACGGACTGGCCAGGGGGACGCCACACCGGGGAGGATGCTTCGCGCGAGCGGGGAGATGGTGAAGGCTGGTGGCCAAAGACTCGAGACTTGTGGAGGGAGGGAGTGATGATTTGAGTGTCACGAGATGTCAGTCAGCTCACTTGTCTTGAAAGTTCTGTCAAATGCTAGCTGCTAGAGAAACTTGGAGCTTTTTTCGGTGCTCCCGACGACAGGCGAAGGCCGATGAAAGCTTGGCCAAGCTATTTGCTCTGAATTCATGCTCCCTGCTTTAGCCTGTCCTGGCAACCCTGAGACGGGTGACTGGCACTAACTGGCTCACCTATGCCAGATCTATGATCTTTTTGTTTGTCGATTACCTGCGCCATTTGCTAGTTCCGGAAGAGATCAAAGGACTCTTCAAATTGCAGCTTGCCCGTTGGAGATGTTGTTTGGATGGGGTGCGTTGCTGACACCTGCAATCGTGTTGGGCAAAGGGGCCCTTCGACAATGTCCAACGGCGGATGGCTCAACGCGGAAGCAAGATGTTTCCAGTGCTCAAAGTAGCAGCTACATTGCCTAGAACGATGTAGCCTGCAGTGCTCAAGAAGAGCAGTGCGGGTGGAGGCAGGTGGAAAACCGTTGCAACTTTGAAACTCCATCAATTTGGAGATGGGATTCTGGCCGACCGTCACAAGCACAGACACGGTTTTGCTTGATCCAATTTTCAGTTAGAGATTCAACGCTGCAATGTGCTTTTTCAAAAGGCATACAATTCTTTAAAAGAGAGATAAGCCGGTGTGGTGCTCAGGCTCAAGGGGAGAAGCAGGAATCATTGCATCACGCCTTAGGGGAGAAAACTATGAGACCCCTTCGACTTCTCATGCTTTCTTTTGTGGGATGCAACCTGCCTTGCTTGCAAGCGTGGGCCCCCCTGAATCTCATGCCTTACACGAAGCAGCACGCGGGAGGATTGCGAAGAGCATGGTCCAATCGCCGGCACATGATGTGTTGAGGGGATTCAGTCAGACGATTCTACCATTGAAGCCTCCAAACAAGAGAATCCAACTGAAATATGGAGCCTTGGGCCAAACAACATCTCACAGTTTCTTTTGTCCGGCAGCGATGCCTGCGCAAAAGGCGGGTGTCGGGGTCATGGCCAATTCTTCATCAAAGAGGAGGCAAATCTGATAGTTATTTGAGGTTCGTGCCAGGGCAGCTTTCCGAATGGTTTCAGAAGGCGGGCTCTCAAGGCTCTCACGGCTCATCGTTGCTCCCCAGGCCGTGCAAGCTCTGTCGGCCAAGACCGATGCCGTCCGGCACCGAGTGTCACGGCGGTCGCCGTCCGATGCAGGGCGTGGGCCTCGTTCGATCCCTCCGAACCGATGCGCAGCGTCTCTTGTCAGATGCGAGCGACTGCGGTGCCTCTGCTCGTGAAGTTGGAAGAGCAGGCTTGGGCTGTTTGAGACAAGTGCAGTAGGACTTAGGGCCTCAGCCCACTGTTGTCTTGGCGTTTTTGGTTTGCGCTACCTCGCCGCTCGCGACGTCCAAGACGCCGCTCAGCCGGCGGTTAGTTTTCATTGGCTTCGCTCGAGTTTGGCAGGTGGAGAAGTTGACGAAATTGGCCGATGATTACCTCGAGCAGGGGATGCTACTAGGAGCAAAGGGCATCGCTACTAGGAGCAAGGACGCTACTAAGGGCTCCTGGCCTTACTACTAGGAACAAGATGCTACTAGTTACTAGTAACAACTGCATCGCTTCTAGTAACAAGTGCCTTACTAGTAGTAACAAAAGCTACTAGGAGCATGGTTTAACATCACCCTCGAGCAGGGGATGTTCGGGCCTGGGATTCACTCGTTTCGGAGCCTATGGCTATGGCGGCTACGGCTAGGGGAGATCTCATGCTTGCTACACACGGTCCAACATCATGGACCGTGTGCTATATTTTGCCTGAAGCACCCCTAGCTTGTCGGCATTTTCGCGGCCTCATCTTAACTCCTGTCCAATCATGTATATAGCCTGCAGCTGCAATTCCATCAGGCGGACGAGCTTGGAATGCATTGAGTCAACCTGCCTTGGAGATGCCTGAGGCTTGGCCACTACGCGGAAGCCATCAAGATGCGAGACAGTGCAACAGTCTCCCTTGAGGCCGCAGGGGCTGAAGATATCTGTCATCTTATCTTCGCATTTGTGAGTCCGCGGTCAGCGCGTAGAACGGTAGGGTTTTGTCAGCAAGTGGATGCTGAAGAACTTGACAGGAGAATCCCAGTTGAAACACTTGTGACTTTAATCCTTCGTGATTTGCTCTTAGGTAGGGAGGAACCCCCAGGGGCCCGCGTCACCCCATTGCCAGGGTCTGCAGCAGAAGTTGGGGATTTCAGGCGAGGCAATCATGGGCAAAACTACTAGGAGCAAAGGGCATCCGCTACTAGGAGCGAGGACACTACTAGTAGCTCCTGGCATTAGTACTAGGAGCATTCTTACTACTAGTAACAAGAAACTACTTTTTGTGGAAACGGATGGTGGATTAACATGTCTTTTTTGGCTGGACCTGTCCAGCCGCCCATTGTCTGAGCGTTCCGCAAGCCCATTGAGCGTCAATGGATGATAACTTGTCCAGAAGCCAGGCGAAGCAGCTGACCTGGCTACGCCCACGCTGGGGAGACCCAGCTGGTTGTTTGTCACAGTTTGATGCAGGACCCCTGCTTGTGACTGGGGGATTTCAATTGTAGATAGTTCTGACATTCTTTTCTATGTGTCGGCTTTGATTCCTTGGTTGCTTCAGCCAAGGAAGGCGGAGGTCAAGAAGGAGGCCAAGAAGGATGCAGAGAGGGAGGCCAAGGAGGATGCAAAGAGGCTGAGTGAACGTGACAAGGACAATGGCAAAAAGGCAGACGCAAGGGAGGCCAAGGAAGACACGAAGAAGGCGGTCAAAGACGAACCAAATGAGGCGGGATGTTGCCCTGACTTTTGTGTTTGTTTTATCCTAGGGCCTCAGGCGCACAGAAATACGAAAACCGTGGCAAGACGTGGCAAGACAATGCATGCCTTGCATTCCTGTTACTAGTGCCTCCTGTTACTACTAGTAAGGCACCTGTTACTACTAGAGTGGCACCTGTTACTACTAGAGTGCGCGGTCCACAAGCCTTGCATTCCTGGGTGGTCTGGGAAGAACCGAATGACCCACGCCTCTGTGACAGGCCCTGGACCTTTGCAACGACGAGCCGCTGAGCTGAAGAAAAGGTGACCCAGAGACAAGCAACGAGATACAACAAGCAAAGATGCTGGGATATGCTGCAACTCGTTGACCATCTAATTTTCTTATCTCTTTCACCCAATCAACATCATAGTGAACCGCCTTTTTGCTTTTCATCCTCCTCTTTTCATCCTCTTTGTTGTTATAATATGCATATAAGTCCTTGACGAGTCGAGTGCTAATGCCCAAGCCATTTCTAGGCCCAGCTACCGTTGGATCGCTGCCGGGGAGGGCTGTGTTGTGGAGATCAAGGGCCCGGCCTGTGAGGCGGGTGTTGTGTTTTGCTGGGTCTGGGTGTTATCAACCTTGCATGGGCACACAAGACATCACCGTACACCCAGCTGTGTGAAGTTATGTGAGTACGGTATATATATGTATATATACATATGAGTGAAAACCGCAAAACCTTAGCTGGTTGACTTTAAAAGGTCTGGATTGGAGTGCGGCCCGTGTGGCGCTCCTTCACTGAACCTGCGCCGCTCTTTCACACGAGGCTGATGCGATGCCCGACGTCGCCCCTTTAGCTGCAAAGCGGGCTTTGACAGAGTTCTCGTGGATTGCGACACTCTTTGTGTGTTGGTACGCTTGGGCTCTGACTCCGCCAGGGCTGCATTTGTTCGTTGCATATTCCCCTCCTATCAATACGCGACCGACCAGGACCATGAATCATGCGAACAAGAGCTGGGTGGTGAGCTGGCGGGCTTCCCCTTGCCCAAGGAACTTTCAGAAGTGCAAGCCCGCTGCAGCAGGGATCCTGGAGACATTTAGAGTTCTCCGTCCCATGTCAGTGAGAGAGAGAGAGAGAGACAACGATCTGATCCATCTGAATACATCTATCTAATTCATCTAGCTAATTCGATGTCTTAAAGACTTGGGGAACATCCCGGTGATGTGGCCCTGCTGAGTCGGAGTCGACCGAGGTTGGGAGACCAGTGCTTGGCAGTTCGGGGCCCTGGGCCGGCGCCCACCGGCAGCCACTGTGCGAACGACGTGGGCGTCTCTTCGAGGCTCACCCTACCGGTCGCCTTTAGTCTGGACGTGGCCAAATGCAAGGTGGTGCGGAGGCCTGCCTTGGGCAGCTTGTTGGGTGAATCGAAGTTGAAGTTGAGAAGACAGACCGTGATGCAGGTGCATCATGCCTCCCACCATTTCTTGTGCTCCTCACCAATGCAGAAGTCCTGTCCTGCTGTTCGCTGAAAACGGCTCCACTCTTTGTGGCAGGCGGAAGAGGCAGATCCTCGAGCCAGAGCCACAGCTATGTGGCCGAGTTCCCCAAAGAGCCTTACGGTTGATGCCGAGAATGAGATAGAAGTTGCCATACTACTACATAATTCAATAGAGGAATTTGTTCATTTTCCTTGGTTTTGGATCCAGGAAAATGCATGCCTTCAGAAGCATCGTTGATCATACATACAAACACCCTGGTACCCCTGAAAGGGTTTCGGCCCGTTTGCGTGGGCTGGTTGTTTTGAACGGACTGGACGCCATTTTCTGCACACCTTCATTTGAGGCTCCACCTCACTCCTGCACCACCGGCGCCGTCATGTGGCCTCAAGCAGGCCGTGCTGGAGCAAGGCTGGGGACGGGCCGAAGCTCCCAGGGGGACGCTGTTTCTTCAGACGGATCATGACGTTTCAGACGTTTCATGACGTTTCACAGGGAGCTCTGGATTGACAGACTTGTTTGTTGCTACTGAATGACAGACACGTATTTGTAGAATTTGCAGGAAAACAGCTGGAACGCTTGCAAAGTGTGTCATGGACTTATCATTTTTGGCAATTATGATGTTAGCGCAGACCTCAACCAGAAGCCTTCTCATGTTCTACTTATACTTGGAGCTAAATGAAGATGGCAGAGCCTCAGCAGGTTTTGGCTGGATGGATGGGTTGGCAGCCCCAGACTGTTTGAGGATGGCGGGAATTGGTCGAGATGTCACAGAGCGACTAGAAAGTCCAGAATGTCGGTGCCAAGATGGAGTGATCACTGAGCTCTG